TTACGAGGTGTTTGTGTCTGAGCCTCAGATTCTTCCTCTGTGAAATGGGGATGATAATTGCTACATCCTGAGGACAGTCTGAAAACTAAATGAGATTTCATCTATGCGAGCCAAACACAGAGAACAGCTGCTTATTATTACTATTATTACTACCATTATTATTATTATTACATGTTAATGTCACCGCAGAAATAGAGAGAGAGTGGCATGATGGAAAGGCACTATTCGGGGTGAAAGGCAGCCTAAGTTCAAATCCTGGCTCAACCACTTGCCGCTGTGTGACCCAAGAGGGCTCACTCCACCTCTCTGAGCCTCATCTGCAAAATGGGATCACTGACAACTACCTGGCAGTTTGCAAGGTTTAAGTGAGATAAGGTTTCAGTGTGCCACTGAGGAGGTGTGTTTCAAAGAAGAGACTTTACGAAGGAAACACTTACAGAGCTGTGAGCTCAGTCAAGGGAACAAACGGGATGTTGAGTCCTGCAGAGACCAGCAGCAGACCACCGCAGGACCAAAGGGACAAAGCGGAGGGAAGGGTGTTTCCCGAACCCAGTGAGGGACGGATGGGAGCCAGAGAAGCTACCGGGATGGAGAGGCGCAGCCACAGCAGGTACAAATGAACCAGAGCAGCCAGCAGCAGGGAGGAAGTACCCCAACTTTTCTCCTCCCATCCTCAGACGCCTGCTAGAGCCCCCACTGGCCAAACACCAGAACCTCACGCCTGTAGGCCAAGGGTCAGTCCCCTTGACACAGAGCAGAGGTCAGGGGAGGGGTGGGGGAGTAGATTCAGCAGGGTGGGGACCTGCAAATCCCCCAACCAAATGGTTGGGTGTTCAGGAACAAGAATGGTAAGCTAACTACTCAGTAGAGCAAAACAGAGTGTCAGCGAGGATTCATACATGCTTGGTTTTATTCTTAGCGACTTTTTTGGCCATGTTACAAATGTTTCTTTTTAATTCAGGCCTGAAAACAACCCTGAGCGGTAGACACTAGTGTTCCCATTGTACAGATGATGAGACTGAGGCTCAGAGAGGTAAAGAGTCTCACGCACGGTCACAGAGCGGCAAGGCAGCACAACTGACATTCTCTAAACCACAGACCTGGCAATCACAGCTGTCACCCTGCTCTGTGTGAACCCAAAGAGGAGACAGCCATGTGTCAGGTGTGGCTGGGCCTTGGGGAAAAGGGAAGATGTAGACAGGGCAGGTAGAAAGCCGTTCTCCAGGAAGGGAAGGAAGCTGTGATTTGAGCCCAGCAATGGGACCTGGGTGTCAACCCTGGGACCAGCCACAGGCAGTGCTTCAGGGGAAGATGCCCAGGGATGCATGAGATGCAAGGCGAGAACCAGGGACGGCTCCCCAGAGGAGGACATTTGGGCTCAATCCGGGATGACAAATTCACAAGACAGAGGAAGAGGAAAGACCTATGGGGCTGTCCTGGGCCATTTCTCCTCCCTCGCTACCTGCCCTCCTTCATGTTCCAGCCTCACAGTTTGAGCACCAGCCACGTGAAGGGACCGTCTGTAAGCTGCTCCAGCCCCACCTTCTTCCGCACTCCAGGCCAGGTCTCCGGCGGCTGCTGGCCATGGCCACAGAGATGTTTCATAGCAACTCCAACCTGACACAGCCCACACAGACCTTTTGGTACCACTACCCGTCTTCCGAATCTCAGCAAAGCCCTGCCCCCCGCAACTGCTCAGGCCAGAGACTCGAGAGCCATCCTAGATTCCTCTCCATCCCTCACCCGCTACATTCCATTCACAGCAAGTCCTATTAACTCCACCTCGAAAACACATCCCATGGCCACGCACCTCTACACCTGGTCTGGGCCACCATCAACTCTCGCCTGGATGACAGTGACCTCCCCTGCTGGTCTCCCCTCTCCCAGCCCGTCTCCTCACCTCAGCCAGGGGTCTCTTCAAATCAGATCATGTCACCTTCCCTCGTGCATGGGAAAAAGCTCTCTCTAGGCCGCCCTGTACAACCCAACTGCATTAGTTTCTTCCAGCTGCTGTAACAAACCACCCCAAAGGTGGCTGGCTTGAACCAACACCAATTTATTTATTTATTATAGTTCTGAAGGTCTGAAATCCGAAATGGGTTTCGGTGGGTGAGAATCAGGACTGTTTCCTTCTAGAGCCTCTAGGGGAGAATCTATTTCCGTGCCTTTTTTGACTTCCAGAGGCCGCCCCCATTCCTTGGCCTGGGGCCCCGCAGCACCCCAACCTCTGTTTCCATCATCACGTCTCTTTTCTCCTGATTCTGACCCTCCTGCCTTCATCTTTTAAGGACGCTGGGTCTTAAAAGTACTGGGTCTATCCACATAGTCCAGGATAACCTCCCTATTTCAAGATCCTTAACTTAATCCTATCTGCTGAAAGTCCTTTGCCATGGAAGGTAATATTCACAGGTTCCAGGGATGAAGACGTGGACATCTTTGGGGGGCTCTCATTCAGCCTACCACCCCGACCTGGTCACCTCTTCTGGAGCCCCCATTGTTCATCTGACCCAAGGGCCTTCTTTTGGTTCTTCAAACAAACGAACCATTTTTCTACCTCAGGGACTTTGCACTTGCCGATCCTTCTGCCTGGAATTCCCTCCCTTCCCCTGGCATTCCTAGGGCTGACACTCCGAGGTTGGCACGAGTATCATCTCTCTGAAAGGCCTCCCCTGGCCTTGAAGTCTCAGCCAGCTGCCCCTCGCCCTCTGCTGTGTCCCCCAGTGTAATTCCCTGAGAGCCTCTGATCAGCAGCTGATGTTTTTCCCCATGTACTTATTTTCCTGGGGTTCCCACGACAGCGTGCACTCCCCGGGGACAGGTCCTGTCTGTCCCGCTCACCGCTGCACCCCAAAGCCTAGCACACAGTAGATGCTCAATACGCATCCGCTCAGGGCGTGGCCTCCTATCTTGTCCTGCCCAGGGACCTGAGAACTTCTCTCTCCCCATTTCTCAGTTTCACTTCTATTTGTTTTACTTTTTCATTTTTTGAGTCACTTCTCACTTGAGGGAGGAAGAAGGGAGCAAGACATGCAGTTCCTTTCGAGGCAAAGAAGGAAATGACCCACCGGGCCTGAGCCCAGCGAGGCTGGCCAGGGGTCACAGCTGCCACCTCCCCTGAGTCAGGACCAGCTTCCTGGCAGAACTCTCAGCTCCCTGAGCCTTTGTCCACTGCCTTCCTCCTGCCCAGAGCAGCTGCCCTTTTCACAGCCCACCTCAAAGCGCACCAGGTCTCCTCCAGTCTGACCACCTCATTGAGGACTGAGGGAACTGGGACCGGAAGCCTTCCCAGGCACATGGCACCTGCATTCCAGGCCCTGCTGGAATGCTCTGTCCCAGCCAAACCCTGCGAGCCCACTTCTGCCTGGGCCAGCAGCAAGGGGCCACAGGGATGCTGGATGCTAAGCTCAGCAGGCCCAGAGGCCAGTCTGCACACACACCCTCGGCCCTCACTGAGGACAGCCTGGCGCCAGTGTCTCAGAGGAAATGTTACTAGAGTTTAGAAACCTCCTGTGCTGTGCAGAAACCAGCTTCTCCCTGTGGCCAGGGCAGGGGACGGCCAGGGAGGTGGCCTCCCATCCAGCACCCAGTGGGTCCTTGCCTCTCTCCAGGCAGGAGCCCCGATTCTGATTCCCACTCCCACCCACCAGCCTTCTCCCTCTGAACCATCCCAGGAGCCACAGGTCAGTGACACAGGGACCAGCAAGGGTAGACTGATGGGGTCAAGGGCTGAGAGGGCATAGTGACAGCCGAGGTCACAGCCTCTACCCACCCTGGGGCAGTGAGACAAGCCCTCTTCCTTCTGGAATTCAGGATGAAGCCGGGCCCTGATCTCTGGGTGACCCCAGATCCCCATCCAGGTTGATCCCATGTCCCAAGGGCTGCCTTCATGGGGGCAGTCACATGGGGTCTTGTGCTTAAAAGGACCCCATGCTGGGTTTCATGTTCTTCCGTCTCTGTCCTGAAATTCTTAGTAACTTTTGAGAAAAGGACCCCATGTTTCCATTCTATACTACGCCCCACAAACTACGAAGCTGGTCCTGCGAGCCCAGCCTCTCTACCCACCACCCCATCCCACCCCTGTTCTCGTGACAGCTCCTAAGCTAATCACCAACTGTGAGCTCTGCGTCTGGTGAGGGCCTGGCCCTTTAGGTCACGACACCTGGGTTTCTTAAGAGCCTTCTAAAGACAACATCAAAGCAACACTGCCACAGGGGCTCTCGGACTAGCCGGGGGTCATGTTTGTTCAGAGGCGTCTTTAAATCCCACCACACAGCAGCTGCTAGGTCAAGAGATGGCAGTAGGAAGAAGCATGAACTTTGGGGCCAGGCCAACTTGGTTTGAGTTTGACTCTGAGGCTTCCCGTCTGGGTGATCTCAGAAACGTGACTAAACCTCTCTCTTCCTCCACTCATCTATAAAGTGAGGGCTACAATTACACCCACCTTGAGGCGTACTGGGAGGATTAAGTGCGATAACACATATAAAGTGCTTGGAAGAGTGTCAGGCATTCAATAGTTATTGATATTTATTTTTTGGTACTTATTATACTTATTGATGACACTTATTGATAAATGTCAGCTGTTGAGGTCAGACACCTGGGCTTTATTCTCAGCCCCACCATTTACTCCACTGTGAACTTAACTTCTCTGTGCCTCAGTTTCCCCATTTGTAAAATCCAAGCTGGGTGTCCACCGCACAAGCCTTTGGGAGCTACCATCCACATAAGCATTGCTCTCTCCTCCAGGAAACCTTCCCTACAGCTCTTCTCTAGCCTCCCCTGTCGCCCATGCTTGCTTGCCCAATAGCACATGTGACCCTTAAGTAGGAATTGTTTCTGTGTCTGGCTTCCCCTCCCAGACTAGGAGCTCCACGGGGGCAGGAAGAGGGTGTGGTTCTGCTAGTCTGAGCAGAGAGTGAAGGATGAAGGGTTAAACAGTTCAGTGCTCCCCGGGAGATGCTCGCACCCCACATTCCCTGATAGTCTCTCTCCTCGTCCCTCAGAGCCGTCCCTCCCGGGAAGATGCAGGTGTTCGTGATGCTGCTGGCTGCAGGGGGCACCTGCCTGGGCCTGCTGGCAGCAGCTGCAGCGGCCGTCAACCCTGACCGACCCAACACCCCCAGCTCGCTGCCCATTCACCGGCGCCAGAAGAGAGACTGGATCTGGAACCAGATGCACATCGATGAAGAGAAAAACGGCTCACTGCCCCACTACGTGGGCAAGGTAAGGCTCAGGCCCCAGAGCAGGAGAGGCGCGCCGTGGTGGTGGTGATGATAAAGACAGTGACAGGTGCTGTGGTGGTTGCAGGGATGGGGATGATCGTTGCAAGGGTGATGGTAATAGTGGGAGAGATGGTGGAGGTGGCAGATGTCATGGTGGCGGTGACTATGGTGATAGCCAAGGAGAAGGTGGTGGTGGTAACAGCGGTGGTGGTGGTGATGACGATGATGATCACGGAGGTGGTGGTGGTGGAAGTAATGGTGAGCACAATGGTTCATCTTTCTCGCAGACTTTGGCCTATGGAGTGAGTATCACTGGCAGAAGGGCCACCCCGTGAACAAGCTAAGGAGGGCACCCTAGTGTGGGGGCTCAGGGCTCAGGGCAGGACCAGCCAAGGCTGCCATTAACTTTGCGCATTTGAGAGGTTTGGAAGACCTGAGCAGACTTCTACAGAACTGTGCCGGTGACAAAGCTCATGATGCAGGCCATGGTTTGCCACCTCTAGTCGAGGCCTTTGAACCTCCTCAGAAAGCCCTGTCTCTCAGGGTGTTTTGTCCTAGCATCTAGGGCGTTATGAGCTCCAGATTCTAGGACACCCATAACAAGGCACTTGACCCAAGCCTGCCCTCCAGGGCGGTGCCTATGACTCTAAACCCTCATTTCATCCCATTTAAAACGTGTCCATCCTCAGTCACCTTCCTAGAGCTTGGAGCTAATCTGAGGGACTAATGAACTATCTTCCTGTGTCAAAAGGTCGCTGAGGTCAAAACCATCCACTCTAATTGAAAGGAATGGCTCTAGGGGCTTCCCTGGGCGCAGTGGTTCACCTTCCTAGAGCTTGGAGCTAATCTGAGGGACTAATGAACTATCTTCCTGTGTCAAAAGGTCGCTGAGGTCAAAACCATCCACTCTAATTGAAAGGAATGGCTCTAGGGGCTTCCCTGGTGGCGCAGTGGTTGAGAGTCCGCCTGCCGATGCAGGGGACACAGGTTCGTGCCCTGGTCTGGGAGGATCCCACATGCTGCGGAGCAGCTGGGCCCCTGAGCCATGGCCGCTGAGCCTGCGCGTCCGGAGCCTATGCTCCGCAACGGGAGAGGCCACAACAGTGAGAGGCCCACGTACCACAAAAAAAAAAAAAAAAGAAAGAAAGGAATGGCTCTAGTGGTGGAATTTCACACACAACGACAGGGAGATGGATTAGGTATTTCCAGAGTTTTCAGTGAGGAGAAAAATTCCTTTCCAGTGCTTCAAAATCTCACCACGTCAGTTTCTTGGAAGCTAAGCAGGGTCAGCTAAAGAAAGATCAGTGTACCGGTGAGAGGAATTATGCTCCCAAGCACAAGGCTGGGCTCTGGGACATGGTCGGGGGCAAAGACAGACATGGTCCACACCCTCATGGAGCTTGTGGTCTAAAACAGGGGCTGGCCACATGTAAATCAGTGAAGTTAGAACACTCCCTCACACCATACAGAAAAACAAACTCAAAATGGTTTAAAGACTTAAATATAAGACATGATACCATAAAACTCCTAGAAGAGAACATAGGCAAAACATTCTCTGACATTAATCACAGCAATGTTTTCTTAGGTCAGTCTCCCAAGGCAAAAGCAATAAAAGCAAAAATAAACAAACGGGACCTAATCAAACTTATAAGCTTTTGCACAGCAAAGGAAACCATAAACCAAATAAAAAGACAACCTATAGACTGGGAGAAAATATCTGCAAATGATGTGACTGACAAGGGCTTAATTTCCAAAATATATGAACAGCTCATACAGCTCAGTATCAAGAAAACAAACAACCCAATCAAAAGCGGGCAGAAAACCTAAACAAACGTTTCTCCAAAGAAGCCATACAGATGGCCAACAAGCACATGAAAAGATGCTCCACACCGCTATTAGAGAAATGCAAATCAAAACCACAATGAGGTATCACCTCACAGCAGTCAGAATGGCTGTCATCAAAAAGTCTACAAATAATAAATGCTGGAGAGGGAGTGGAAAAAAGGGAACCCTCCTACACTGTCGGTGGGAATGTAAATTTGTGTAGCCACTATGGAAAACAGTATGAGGCTTCCTTAAAAAACTAAAAACAGAGTTACAATATGAGCCAGCAATCCCACTCCTGGGCATATATCCAGAAAATATGAAAATTCTAATTCAAAAAGTTACATGAACCCCAATGTTCATAGCAGCACTATTTACAATAGCCAAGACATGGAAGCAACCTAAGTGTCCATCAACAGATGAATGCGTAAAGAAGGTGTGGTACCTATAAATAATGGAATATTACTCAGCCATAAAAAAGAATGAAATCTTGCCATTTAGAGCAACATGGATGGACCTAGAGGTTATCATACTAAGTGAAGTAAGTCAGACAGAGAAAGACAAATATCATATGATACCTCTTATATGTCAAATCTAAAAACATGATACAAATGAACTTATTTACAAAACAGAAACAGACTCTCAGACATAGAAAACAAACTTACGATTATCAAAGGGGAAAGCGGGGGAGGGATAAATTAGGAGTTTGGGATTAACGTATACATACTACTATATATAAAACAGATAATCAACAAGGACCTACTGCATAGCACAAGGATCTATATTCCATAGGTTGTAATAACCTATAATGGAAAAGATGTATACACACACACACATATACATCACTTTGCTGTACACAAGAAACTAACAAAACACTGTAAGTCAACTATACTTCATAAATAGGGGCTGGTAGAACTGCCCCGCCATGCAGTTTTGTAAATAAAGTTTTATTGGAACAGAGCCACGCCGTGCACTTAACAAATGGTCGTGGTTGCTTTCATGCTACAATGGCAGATTTGAGTAACTGTCCCAAAGACCATATGACCCACAAAGTTGAAAATGTTTACTATCTGGCCCTTTACAGAAACAGTTTGCCCACCCTGGTCTAGAAGGGCAGCATGTATTAGACAAAGAACCCCACACATGCTGGAGATGGGGGAGCCCTATGGTTATAGAGAAACAGGCCAGAAAGGACCCCTAGATGGGGAAGGGTCAAGTCTGGCCTCAGCACCATAAATGCCATGGCAGCTGGCAGTGGAGCCAGCCGGGGAATCTACACTCACAGCCCTGCCCACGGCCCTCTCCACTGCTCACTGTGCCCAGGCCTCCTCTGGCCACCAAGAATGGCTGGGAAATTCAGATCCTTCAGTCTGGCCACTCAGAGGGGAAGGCGCTTGCCCAGGGTCACACAGTGAAACCAGGACAGAGCCCTAGGAAAGCACAGGGTTCCTGACTCCCAACACCGATGTGAACTCTGTGCCCTAGAGGAAAATGCCATCGGCCCATCTACTCCTTCCCAAGAGGATGAGTGTGCCGTGAATCAACCTCCAAAGAGAATGGCTGCCCCCCAACGAATATCCACGGGCTGAGTCAGGGACAGTCAGCAGCAAGCAGGGCCACCGGCATGCCGCCCAGCCCGGACACGGCAGACTTTGGACGGCTC